ATGTCTTTACATTTCCTTCGCTTTACCCCCTCCCCCCACCACTCTCTCTCTCTCTCTCTCTCTCTCTCTATCTATCTATCTATCTATCTCGCTATCTATCTATCTATCTATCTATCTATCTATTTTAGTATCTATATTTTTTCAGACTTAGGACACAGATGTTATTAATGCGCAATCATTAGCCAATGCGATAATATATAATCTCTTGGGTGAACGCGTCGAATGAAGGGTCTGAAAATCTTGAGACAATGTCCATTCTTCAATTTCTATACAAAGATGACAAGTCGCCATCCATGTTTGTCTCTTTCGTTGTAAAAACTCTGCAAGCTTCTTTTTTACTATTTTTGTCTATATTCTTATTCTTTTATCGTTTAATATTTCTTTGTTTTCCTTTAACGTCATCTGATATTATTTATTTCCCTATATCATTCCCTTTTATTCTCGTTTTTCTTCTTTTGTTATTGTTATTACGATTATTAAACATCTTTTTAAAACTTTCCCCATTATTTTGAGCTTCCTATCAGAACTCTCTGACAATTCCAAACAAGAAGTCCTACCATTTGCTTAGTATCAACGTCGTCTTTAACTCTAACCTAATTGCTTAACCATTTCCAAGGATGTATTTTTTCTAGCGATACGCCATTTTGTAACGAACTTTTAGCAAATTTATTTCTCGTCTCACACACTTGATTTATGATGTCTTCTTCCAAATCTGTGCTGAATTCAACTCCATCCAAACTTTACCAAACTTTATATACATTCCACGTCGGTTCACTTTTCTTTTGAGAGATTCCTTGAGAAATTCTTCGGTCGTTAATTGTTATGATGATATAATAGTTTATATCATAATTTCGAAATCCTGAAAACAATATCCAACGCTTTTTTACTTGATGATATCCTTGTTTGGCTGTAATAATGGTATTATTTGTATCATCATAACAAAAGAATCTGCCTTTGCTGGGACTAAAATTTACAGTAAATTTCCGCGCTTCAGTCAGTTCAGTGCCATGCGTGATACACGCTTAGGCGATCATGTATCTTTTACATGACTGACGAGGCAGATTTTTTTCCCCGTAGTAGGTTGCCATTTCTTTCTGCGGTATATCCAAGGCTATAGAATCCGGTCTGTCCTGCTATTTACTTATAGCTGGGAGGGGGGGGAGAAAAAGATGATTCATACCTTTCCCACGTAAGTGAATGTAATGGATTCGACTGGAATTCGAACTCGGCTCTCCGATTTCTCAATTCGAGCCGCTATTCAATACAATGGTCAGCATCGCCTCTGTACTTCGACTCTTTGATTATTCTAATATCTTAGCAGGCTATTGGGGCTGTTCGCTGTGCTCAAATGATTGCAGATAATAACTAAATATTAATTAATAAATATTAATGATTGCTGTATCGAGTTTACACATTCCTCGCAGCTCTCGAGTAAAACCCTAATATCATTGTCTATTCTATTCTATTCTATTCTATTCTATCTATCTATCTATCTATCTATTTGTCTGTCTGTCTGTCTGTCTCCGTATATCTCTGCATCTGTCTCTATCTATCTACCTCGCTTTATTTGTCTCTCTCTCTGTATCTCTCTATTTTCTATCTACCTTTTTTATTCCACAATTTTCTCAGCTTTTGAGTAAAACACTAATATCATTGTCTGTTCTCTCTCTCTTTATCTATCTATCTATCTCTCTCCATATATCTCACCATCTCTCACTCTATATATACCTCTTTCGTTCTCTCTATATATCTATCTATCTGCCTCTCTTTCTTTCATTCTCTCTCTCTCTTTCTCTTTCTCTGTTTATCTATCTCTCTTTCATTCTCTCTCTATCTGTCAGTGCATCTCTCTTTATTTCATTCGCTCTCACTCTATCTTTTGAAACAGCAACATACAAGTATTTTCTTTCTTTTATTTACAGCAATTAAGTTTGGTCATCTGGATTAGAAAGGATATTATTTAAAAGTCATATGATATTATGATCTTGTAAATAGCCGGGGTGGGTTATTAAAAACATTTTTCGGGGCAATGGTACTTACCTGGCAGTCTCCATTTGCTTTCCACGTACTGTAATCATTCGAATATAACACGCACTCCTAACATTGGGTTACAAAATACTGCGAAAAAAAAACATACCTCACTAATTTTCAGAATTTGTAGCAGCTGAATTTAAAATTTGTTTAACTTTTTCTCCAGTTCGTTTTTACTAAACCTAAAAATTCATATAGTTTGCATTATATTTTCAAACATAAAATTTAAAGAAGAAAGACAAGATGAGTCCGTGAACGACGATAGCGACATTGAAAACGACAAATAAATCTACTACGCTGACAATGTGGAAGAAAATGTCATAAAGTCGACCTTTGACACGGACAGCAGTGAAGCAAACTAATATCTGTGTGGATATAATATTGTTTTAAATAAATGCAGTTTTTTTGTAAGCGATTTAAACTCCTTGTTACGCATTAATTTTGATCATAGATACAATACACTTTCGGTCATCAGTTATGTGCCATGCGTGATACACACTTAGTCGATCATGTATCTTTCGATACATGACTGACGAGGCAGATTTTTTTTCGGTAGTAGGTTGCCATTTCTTTCTGCGGTAGACCAGGTTTCATCCAAGGCTATAGAACTCGGTCTGTCCTGCTATTTACCCATAGCTGGGGGGGGAGAAGAAGTGGATGACTACCTTTCCCAAGGGTATTAGCACGTAAGTCAACGTAATGGATTCGACTGGAATTCGAGCTCAGCTCTCCGAGCCGCTATCTATTACACCACTGTGCCTCTTCTGTCATACCGTTCCGAATATATAATATATAACCGGAGAAAAGGCTTATATTTACTTCTCGTGTGTAGTACGCAACTTCAAGTTTAAAAATCTGGGGGGAAGTCGCACATTATGCTCGAATAGGATAAAATGAGAATAACACGCGACATGCTATATCTCCTGTCGCTGGTACCATGTAACCTGACATATTGGGAGGAGTGGATTTCGCAAGGGTTTTACGAACACAAACTGACTCAGCCGGAAATTGAACTCTGTCCTTTGATACCATTTTTGCGCTGCTAACGATTAAGCCAAATCAATAATTTATTTGAAAACGATAATCAAACTATATTTCTTAATCTTACATTTTCTATTTCAAGGATCAACTGGATTGTTTTTCATACCATTTATTTATATAATTGACTTTTTCTACTTTTTCTATAAATACAGTTAAACCACAGCCTTCACTCGTCTCTGTCGATATTTTATAATCTTTCGACCAGTTTGCTATATTTATCGTTAATGCCTAGTAATTATTATTTTCATAGATTGCATTTAATGTTTTCTTGTATTCTATAACTTATTAACAGCACTTATAACTTGTAGCCCCCAATATTTACATAACGAGGAGAAATACATTGAAAATACATTTAAGCTTCTCTAATATCCTCATTATTTCATATCTAATGCGAAACGGAAAGCTCATCAAATTTATACATATAACAGAAGGAACGCTATAAATAAACTTAATAAAACTAGACACATAATATTACCTAGCAACTTTATAACAGCCACAATTGAAAGTAATGTATCTAAATTTAATATAAAATATCTTACGACTACTTCTAAAACAATAAGAAACCTTATTAATACAAAACAAAATAATAACACCCTAATACTTGAAGCAAGAATTTAAAGTACAGCTTGTAATAATTGTCACAAAATATATAGGCGAGACTTCGTGGAATTTAAAGAAAACATATGAACACGGAAAAGATATTTTAGAAAACTCAGTGAATTAGTCGTTCACCGAAATGAATCTGACAACAATTTTGATTTTTAAAAAATGCTGCTTTAATTAAAAGTGGAAGTAATTTTTCAAGGTGAAAACTTATAGAAAGTGGACTGATTTCTAAATTTTTCACGATAAATTTCCGTTCAGGTTCTTATAACATTTTACTTTTCTCAACGAATGGTCTGTTGTCGCAATATTGGATATTTAAAAACAACTGCGATAAAAGAAAAACTAAAGCGTTGAGAAATAGAATGAAATTGGCTGAGCTGTGCGTCTAGATACGTCGTATACCAGAAATTTAAAAATTTAAAGTTTAGCGTATTCACATCTTCAGCGTTTCACCTCGTGCATATTTATAACCGACGTTTATGTTTATGTTCTCTCTCCCCATTATATATATATATATATATATATATATATATATATAATTTTATCAATAAAAACATTCATTTAGTTCAGTGGTTCACAAACTTTTTTTTCTCTGAGCCATTTGTTCGGAATTCTAATTTTCTCTCGCCTCACCAAATTTTATGTGATAAAAAGTACATTTAAAAAAAAAAACAGAGATAGGGTTAAAGGGAGGTAACCGTGGATTCGAAGTTCGAACATTATCATTGATAACTCTCTCCTCCAATTTGCGGACCCTAGTTACTATATTCTTAATACTTGATATAATGCAAAAATATCACAATGATAAAATCGGTCAATAATTATTTATAAATATTTATAATGGAACCCATGCATGCAAATTATAAGTAATCCTTGATAATATTTTAAATTTTGAAATCATCTTTATTTTTGGCATATTGATTTTTTTTCTTTTAATCAATCCGCCTCACGTGCTATCCTCTTCCGCCGTACATATGAGGCGTGTCTTACCGTTTGGGAACCACTGGTTTAATCTGATGAAGTTCTTTTAGAGGACGAAATATGCTACATAGCATTTTTTACATTTTGTCATTCAATTACCCAACTTTGTTCTGATATATACAAATTCATCATATATTTTCCCATAATCATTATTATTGCTGTTGAATCGGTTGTCGTCAACATTATTGTTTGCATAAAATCATAACCATAAAAGCACTAGCAATAAAACACATACAATCGAAAAATGATACTAAAAACTTGAAACACAAATCTATCTCCACAAAGGATCATTGATATATTTTACACGCGTTTTCTATCACTGAAGTGTTTACAATCAACAAAAAAATAATATAAACTATCTAAACATATCGTCGCAACTTCGCTTTAATAGTAAATGATCATTTACATTGTTCGGACTGTTGTCCTCGTCTTTGTTGCCATATTCACAACGTTTCGGTCGTTGTGCGCTGCGGCCTTCTTCAGGTGATTGGAATTTCGAATCGAACTCTGTATTTCGCCCATCGGAGTAGATTGTTCTAGTTCCACGTGCCATTCCTCTTCCTGATATCTCAGTTTTATTTTCAGGTGTTTCGCTTTAGTAACTCATCTCTACAAGTTTTTTTCACCTCTGCTGTGGCCAGGTATTGAACTCACAACTCTTTGGGTCAAGTCACTAGATTGCTTCAACCAATGCTTTTATCTACTAGGCCATGTGACAACAAAGATGAGGGCAACGGTCCGAACAATGTAAACAGTGTAAATAGTTACAATACCTCATCACAGAAATATAGACAGATAGTAAATAATAAGTTTAAATCTTCAGCTTCGATGTCCATTTATTGTTATATTTATATGATAACAGCAAGAAGGGATCATTTTATTATAATAATAAAATATTTCTTCTGGATGATTACATAATAATAAACACTATTATTGCAGATTATATATTGTTACAGTGACTATTACATAGAAAGAAAAATAGCCCGATAACTGAACACCGGGGTTTGAACTATGTCAGCTTCAAGATACCAACTTACAATTCTCAAATTGCAGTGGATATCTTAACCGATACAAGATAATCAACTTTGACTCGTGCTGCGTTGTTACAACTGTTAAAGACCTTGCCTGGCCCGCTGTGTCAAACCATAACCCCAACCACGCTAATAGGTGACGCTGCAGTCGACCATATTGTTCTTGGTTTCTCATCACCTATTCAAGAGCCAGTCTCAACACAGTAACGCTACCAGAGGTCGCTTCATTATTGCGCTGTCTCGTCCGGCAGGCTGCCTGCGAAGGAAATTAGTATGCGGTGCAGAAACAGGAATATTCGATAGAATTTAATTAATAATCAATTCATTCGTTTCAGAATAATTGGCAGGAATGAAAAGCGACAAAAAGAAAAACAATGACGGTATGAACAATAATAATAATAATAATTATTAATATTAATTTTATTATTATTATTATTAACATAATTATATTTTTTATAATATAACAAATAATATCAAATTTATTGGTGCAGATAATGATGGATGAAAATTGCAGATTTTAAAGACGAAATCGAAAAATTCGTATCGAAGGAATAATTACATAAAAGTACTATTAAAGTTAATCCCCAAATTTCAGTTTTATTTTTGCTTGAACGAAGTTATTTATATATCTGTTCAACGCCAATCCTAAATAAACCACTTTCAGAAAATCATCTTGTGTCAAATATATAAGAGTCCTGACAAATATGGATGCTCCTCACTTTGGATAAATGTTTACAGCTGACAGTACATTTTTACGACAAATAAATTGCAGCTGAATAAAAATTGGTTTAATTATCCCAGATGAGTAGAACATTATGTTCAAACAATTATGCCAAACAAGTATGCTCTGTCCAAAGATCTTAAAGCTGAAGAATAGTTACATCTTTTGAACTGGTCCGAAAATGATACCAAAATAAAACCTAAAACTCTCTGCAAAATAACTAACATCTATTTCGCAATATAGTATGATTACCTGTATATTATGAGTTACTGAACGTAAAATAACTAACTTTATTCTAATAAACATTTTTTTTCTTTTTACGAGGGTGAACTGAAAGGTTTATACGCTGACTGGGAAAAATCAACAGGCTGATCATGGGAAAATCTAACATTGTTTGAGGCAGTTCCAGCTGGTTTCCTTGAACGTTTCCTAACCCAAGATGAGTGTGGGATTCATCACTTTGAGCTAGATACAAAGAGGCAATCCATGCAGTGGAAATATGCCTCCTCATCTGCTCC